TGCAGCCCCCGGGGATGCTGAGCCCCCATGGGTGTGCAGCCCCCGGGGATGCTGAGCCCCCATGGGTGTGCAGCCCCCGGGGATGCTGAGCCCCCCGGCCATGGGGCCGGGGCTCTGCAGGGAGGGCGGCCCTTTGTATGCAGGGCGGGCTCGGGGGGCGGGCGGTGCTTCCCCTAATCTCATCAATGCCCCGATTGTCTTCGGGGCTCCTTGAAGATAAAAATGGCATAAGGCAGAGTCTGCGGCATGGCACCGAGATAAAGCCCCGAGTGACCTTCAAATCAAACAGGGAACCAAGATCGCTGATAAAACCCAGAGGAAGGGAAAAGTCCAGCCTCGAAGAGGAGCCTCCGAGATAGAAAGGCTTTAAGTATTTACCTCCAAATAGTTAAAAACCACAGCTCGAGGCTTGACAGATGGGTCCCCGAGAAGAGGCCGGAGGATGTTTGGCTTTTACAACTCTCATCCCTGCCCCGCTGCCATCCCGCCCTTTTGCAAGACCCCATTGATGTCCCAAGGAGAGGCGACCCCTCTTTGTGCACGGGCACGGGAGAGGTTTGCAGCTGCCCCACGGCTCCAGCCCCGCCGTTTCCGCCGGGATGTGCCGGGGATGTCCCGGGCGGGGCAGGGCAGTGTCCCTGCGCTGTCATTAAGCTGTTAAGGCATTGAGCGGCCCAGACGCCGCCACCTCGGGGCAAGGACAGTTCAAATCCCAGCATGGACAGCCAGGATGGGGTCAGCCAGGCAGCTGAGTGTGCCCCACCAGGAGGGGATCCCCAAACATCTCCTGGAGGCCGTTCCAGCAGCCACGGACACGGCGGTGTTTTGGGAGCCTCTCGGACCCAGCTTGGTCCAAGCTCTCCGAAGCAATCGTGGCTGAGCTCCATCCCTGCCTGCTGTCCCCAAACCAGCCCTAAAAGCCCACAGTGTCCCTTGCCGTGCCCATCTTCTCCTCCTCAGGATGGATACAAGCACCGACCGCCAAGAAATTCCCGCAGCCCAGCCCTCCTGACCCCTCCGGAGGGGCTCTTCTCCGCAGCCATCACTCCTGCCCTGCTGAAAAGCCCCTCGGAATGGGCTGTCAGCGGCCCTATAGCCACGGCCGGCCCCTGCTGGCACCGCTCCGACGGGAAAATAAAGGTTGGGGCTTAACGGCCCTCCAGCCCCGAGATAAATGCCCGCGGTTACAGTAATTGCTGTCCCCTAATAGAAGAAAACAAAGGCTCTCGGGGGGTGCCCCATGTGCGCTGGCAGGCCGGGGGCACATCAAAGGCAGCGGGCTTCGTTCAAAGCCCCGGCTTAATTGTCAATTAAGCATGCACGGGGGACAACGCCGTGACAATGCGGGGCTGCATGCTGGTGGGGCATTGTAAAGCCCGCCGCGACACCGAAAACAGCTGATTCTGCTGACAATGTGCTTGTAGGGCACCTTGTAAGCAATCAGCCGCTGACAGGAGGGCAAACGTCCCCGCCGTCCCCACCATTGTGCGGGGCATTCCTGGGGCAGGGTCACTCCTTGGTCACCGCTGGCCGGTCCCCGGGATGCTGCCGGTCCTCCCCAGGGCCGGGAGCTGCCCATCCCCGGGTACCGCTCGGGGCTGCCACCGCCCGCCAGCCCCGAGCGCCGGGGTCCGTGGCAGCGGCCCCGGGACCCTCCGCCACACGGGCTCCTCGGGGTTCGCCTCTGTAAGGAGCTGCGTGCGCGCTGCAGGGTCACTTCCAGGAGCCGGCTGCTTCCAGCCTCCCCGGCCGGGCTGTGCCAGCGCCGGGGCCGTGTCGGGGGGCGCGGGGCAGTGGGGACACGGTCCCGGGCTGGCTCCCACCTCCGAGCCCCCTGCACCACCGCGGGCTGCAGGGCGCAGTGAGGGACAACGGGGATTGTTCTCCCAACAATGCCTCCGGCCCCTGCCCGCTCCGATGAGCCCCCGGCGTGCAGCCCCCTGCCCACGCCGTTAGCTCCCACTTCAATCCCCCGGGGGCTCCCGGCGGCTCTGCTCTGCTCTGCCGGTCCTGGGCACGGCGTGGCCGCACCGCGGAGTGGGGAGGGTGAGGTGGGGTCACCCTGCAGCCCCGGCAGCTTTCTTCACCCACCTCCCTCCGCTCTGGCACGGGGATGCTGCGGAGTCACGCAGCCAGCCCGGGGTATCCCCAGCCCTGCAGCGAGGCCAGGACACGCTGCCACAGCTTCCCTCGGGCACTGCCTGTGCACCCCCAGAGCAGGGCTCCCCGGTGGGCTGCATCCCATGGACTGGCACTGGCACAGCACGGCAGGCACGGGGCAGCTCCTCCTGCCCTGCCGGGCACAGCCTCTCCCTGCCCGGCCGAGCCCACACGGAACTCCCATGAGTTCAACCAGTCAAGCAAACCCTGATTTATCCTCGGCACGGCGGAAATCCAGCCCTCGCCGTGTGGCCATAACACTGCAGGGACAGCACGTGCTGCTCTCCATCACCATCCCTCCCCGGGGCCGGGCACCGGCCTGAGCATCCTCTCCCCGCACACACGGCATCCCCACGCTGTGCCAGCATCCCCAGGCCCCACGGCGAGGTCTCACCTGGCATTTTGCTGGGTGGGGAGGCGCTGGGCTGGCTGTGGTGCGGGGAGCTGTGGGACAGCAGCAGGTTCATGCTGTGCGGGGGCTGGCCCGAGCTGTAGGCGTCCATGGCCAGCTTCTGGCGGAAAGCCTCCTCCTTGCGCCGGTTGGCAAACCAGTTGTACACACGGACCTCCGTCACCAGGTTGGAGCCCAGCCCGTGAGCCTTGGAGGGGGACACTCCTCGCTGCAGACACTCGGCCCTGCGAGGGCAAGGGACACGTTGGAGCAAGGGTCACAACAAATCTGGGGGAGTTTCAGCCCTTCCTGCAAGCCCATCTGCTCTCTTCAACTACAGCCACACTGCAAAGGCCATCCCCACTCCCCCTGGCAATGCTGCAGCATCGCTGTGGTATCCCTGTTGCATCCCTGTTGCATCCCCACCACATCCCTGCCCAAGCACGGAGCTCACTCTGCCCCAGACATCACCCAGAGGGGGAAAACACGGCAAGGAGAGGCCTGGCAGCTCAGCAATGCCGTGCCACGAGCCGGGAGCCAGGGTGGTGAGCTGGGGGCGCAGCATCTCCCATGGCAGTTTCCCTGGCATATCCCACGGCATTTTCCCTGGCATCTCCCTCGGCTTTCAGAAGGAAGGCTGAGGCTGTGGGCAGGGCAGGCAGCGCAGGTGTGTGGGGCAGCCATTACCTGTTGCACTCCTCCACCAGGGTCTCCCTCTCCTCCTTGCTGGGGTTCTTCTGGCGCTCGTAGGCTTGGTACAAGATTTGCTGGGAGGCCGGCCCCCACTTGAACCGATTGCGCCGCATCTTCTTGCTGGGCGTTTCAGAGCAGGCATCGTCAAGCTGGGCAGCCCCCTGGTTCTGCTGATTGAACTCTGGAAAGAGAAACAGCAGCTGATCCTGACTGCCTTTGTCTGTCATATTTCCACAACCCTGGACTGCCTGGTTGAACTCTGAAAGAGAAAGGAGCAGACGTGAGCTGGCCTGTAGCCGCCGCTCGGAGCCACTGTCCCGCGCCGAGCCCACCCCGTGTCCCCTCCCGCAGCACCCCGAGCCCACAGCAGGCTTTGGAGCCAGCCAGGTGCTCCCTGCCACCCATCCCGGGAAGGGGCCAGCCTGCTGCCATCCCCGTTTAATGGGGAGGCATGTGCAGGGCATGCTATGGCCATGCATATTCATGGGCAGGGCCCCTGCCAGCCTGCACTTGTTTTGGGAGGATTTTTCCGAGCGAGGAGCCGGGCAGTTTGGCTGCAAAGCCCCCCGAGAGGGTGCCCCTCTCTGCTCACCCACAGCTCCCCTCCCACTGCCCTCCCAGCGTGGTGGGACGCCGGCCCCGTGCCCGGGGCGGGCAGCACCAGAGGTGACCTTCGGCGGCCGCCCCAGCCCCGGCACTTGTCACCGCGGCAGTAAAGGGAGATTAATGGGAGGGTTTTATTATTCCCAGTTTTGCAGGGGAATTCTCCCTCTTTTTATAATGGCTTTTCCCCCCGTGACGGGGGGGAAACACAGGGCAAGGCTGGAGCAGGCTCTGTTTGCTCTAACGTCTCAAGGTGTGTTTTCAGAGCAATGGTATTTGGTACTAAACCCTTTTTTGCACTTCCCGTCTGCTGGATGTTGCATCCTTTTGGAAGAGGGAGGCAGAGCCCTTTCCTGGGGCTGCCAGTGCCACTCGAGGCTGCTTTGAGAGCTACGGGACAGATCCCAGGGCAGGGAAGAGTGGGAGAGGGGCACAAAGGAATAGTCTGTGTGCTTGGTCAAAATCATCTTCATTTAAAACAGCACAGACTGCCCCAAATCCTGCTACACACAGCAGCAATTCAGGGGTTTTTAATTTTCTCTCTCTACATGTTTTACACTTTTAGTTGAAAAAATTGAGCAGCCTGAAAAATAACAAGGAAAAGGGGCAAAGATGGGAAAAGCACCTAATTGTGAGCCATCATTAATTGCTTTCCCAGCTCTGACAAATACAAATACCCAGAAATTCAGCTGCGTGCATGAGCCGGGGGGAACCCTGCCACCAAGAGGGGCTCTCACCCACTTTTCCTGCACCTTAAATTCGTTTTTCTTGGAAAACTGTTTTGGGGAGATGCTGCCCAGCCGGGGTCTGGGGGCTGTGCTGGTCCCCAGGGGCAGGACAGGGACGCAGGGACCCCTCTCCCACCGTTGCACCAGTGCCACCATTCCCGCGGGTACTTACGGCGGAGGATCTCCCGCTGCTTGCGGACGTACCACGTGTACAGGGCAGCTCTCTTCTGGGTCTTCATGGGGGTGCCCTTGTTGAGGTGCTGGGAGAGGTGGGACTGGTTGAGGCCGGTGACATCCACCACCTCCCGCTGCGGGATGTTGTGCTGCTGCATGTAGCCCTTGATCATCTTCGCTGCCCGCCACGGGTCCTCGCTGCGGGCAGGGAAACCAAGGGTTAATATCTGCTGCCAGGGAACAGCCCCCAGTATTTCTTCCCATAATGGAAACCTTTCATTACTATTATTGTCATTATTAAAACTGTTTCAGAAGGACACAAAATCCTCAGAGTGTATGTTTCTCCCCAGGCCCCCAAACCAGCTGTGTCCCACCCCAGGGTTGGCAGGATGGGGCTCACCCCCACCCCAGTCTGGTTGTTAGCCAGACTGTTCCCCCAGGGAGGGAGAAGCAGAGAGGATCCCAGAGTCCTGGTGGGACACACCAAGGCCCCGTGAATGCCAGCAAAGCTCCTCCAGCCCTCCGTGGAGAAGCACAGCCCGTGCACCAAACGCTGCCCCTCCGCTCGGCGTGGGTTCTCCCGTGGGAGGTGGGCACAGGTGGGCACGGGGAGCCCATCCTGGACTCTGAACGAACAAAGAGAAGTGCTGGGGATGCTTCTCCTGCCCCTGCTCACCTTTTCCTGCCCCTGCTCAGGGTGCAGCACCTGCACTGTGCCCGTGTCCCACGGCTGGCAGGGACCCCTGCACTGCCACCGAAGCCCACCCGCCGCGCTTGCTGTGCAGCTTCTTCCTTCCATTCCCGCAGGGAGAATGACCTAAAAATCTCAGTTTCCCCTTCAAAGGGACCCTATTCCCTCGCTCCCACAGCTGTGCACGCACTGACCCTACGCAAAGGCTGAGAAGCCAAGGTCAAACCAGGCACAAGAACCTGAGTCCCTGAACGCAAAACTGAAACCAAGACCCTGAGAAGTTTGAGTCATTCTTGATTATTATTAAACACTTGAATCTGGTTCCTGTAGGACCCAAGTTTAAATGACTCTTCTCTAAATTGCACTATTTTACTGTCTTTGGGGTAGCTGACGCTGATTTAGAGTCTGCTGATTAGGGTATTTTTATTTTAGAACAAATAAAATTACAGCTGAAAATCCAAATGCTGTCCGTGGCCTTTAGCTCTGTCGGATGCCCAGTGTGACAGCAGAGGAATAGGCCAACACACCTGTGCTGCATCCAAGACCCCAGGGTTTATTCTGGGCTAAAAGGGAGTAAAAAGGAGCACTTTCAGCACTGCAAAATCAGTGTGAGCCCAGGGCTGGTCACAGTCCTGCACTCAAATAATGCGATACCCCAACGCCGCGCTTGGAACGTCCGACTGCTTCCCCAGTCCATTACTCACTTTGGATCCTTCAACTTGTCAAGTGAAGGGAAAAAAAAAAAAAAAAAAAAGCCCGACAAGTAGATTTCTAATTTTTTTTCCTTGCAAACAAAGCTGGTTGGATCCACGGCAAAATACCGGAGCAGAGCCAAGCAGGGCTTTGGCACGGCCGGGAAGGAGCCACGGAGCCGTCCTGGAGCCGCCGAGCCCGAGCCCTCCCGCACCCCCGGCAGGGGAACCCCAGTGGTTTGGGGGTCCTGGGCACGGGACGGCTCCCAGGAGAAGGTGGGAAGCGAGGGGAAGGACGTGGAGGAAATCTCCTTCCCAGCAGAGCGGGCAGAGCCGCCGCGCCCGGGCTGAGGGGCTCGGGCAGACCTTTGTCACCAGCGCTTCGTGTCACCAACTGATCCCACTAATTACTGATTAATAACGAGTTCATGAAACAGAGCTCATTACCATTTCTAAGAGCGGTTTGGTTCGCAACCGAGCCCAGGGCAGCGTTTCCTCAGAGTGAAACCGAGAGCCCGTGAACACTTGGAAAATGTCAAATGAGTGACTCGGGGGCTACAGAAGAGATTTTGAAATTCAAATAAAATTTGGCAATGTTTTGGTTGGAAAAATATCTTAGAATTAGCAAAAAAAGTCCCCGAGTTTCCCTCCATTAATTATTTTTCAAAAGGCTTCACCTTGACATTTCCAACGTGTTTCACACTTACACTTTCAAAACAATTATTCAGGTCTTCATTTCTGAGAAGTGATTTTTCCTTTACGAATCAACTTGACCGTATTCAAAAGGGTTAACCTGAAACCAAACCCAAACATTTTGTTTCATGTTAAACAAAATGTTTGGACTTGACCCAATATGAAACGTTTGAGTGTTTGTTTGGTCTCTTTCTTTTTTTTTTTTTTTTTTTTTTTTTTTTTTTTTTTTTCTTATCCCGTGCACCTGGCAAGCTCTGTGAGATATCTCCCAAATTCCAGCAAATACACCAATTTCTGACCATTTGAATGAGACTGTTTTTTTTTTTTTTTTTTTTCCTTTCTCTTTTGGTAACCTAAAAAGCCAGAGAGGAAAACCTTTTGAGTCAACACCAGCCCTTATTCTTTGATTCTGTCACCAAAATGAAATAAAACAAACATTAATTGTCCAATCTTCAACAGAACTTTACTTACAAACAAAACCAAAACCCCGACCCAACCCAGGAGTTCTTTCTAATACTGGAAAACCAGTTTATAGCCCTGGCTCCACGGTCCTTCTCACCAAAACCATGGAAAGGTGATTTTTTTTGCACAAAACTAGCCCCACAAAGCCTGGCTGCCAATGTGGCCAAGAAAGAGCCACTTCCCCATTCAGCTTCACACACAGGCGGGGGGCAAAGCCTGTTCCTCTTCCCAGGGGTTCCCAGACCAGCTCACCCATTTTGTCAGCCTCAAAACCAGGTAAATACACTCCACATCCTCGGAGAAATATGCCAAGAATTTATAGAGATGGATTATAAACCCGGCTCCCTGCAGAAATGACACCCTGGTCAGCATCTCCCTGCACAGGAGGGAATCGGCTGTGCCTGCGCTCCCCACACATCTCGGGGTGCCTCTGCTGGGTCCCCAGGGCGGGGATCCCAGCGCACGGGTGGGATCTGGGTGCTCCTGGGGTTATAGGAATCACCTGAGTGAGGTGTGGGTGAGCCCTGGCGGGTGGCATGGGGCAGGGAGGGAGCCGGGGGCTGCCTGTGCCAGAGCTGGGCTCTCCGTGCCACTGCCCGGGGTGAACCCACGGCACCCACCACGCCGTGGGTGGGCAGCAAAGCCCAGAGCACGGTGCCCGAGAGCTGCAGGGCTCCTGAGCAGCCCCAGCGATGTGGGAGCAGCCCGGAGTGAACCTGCCCTGGGTCCGGGGGAGCAGAGGGGGCTCAGCCCCCCAGCACGGCTGCAGTCGGTGTCTCCCGGCTCCCCTACCTGCTCCCTCTCCAAGTACAAAGGCCTCTCGCAGAGCAAACACGAGCTCTTTGCAAAGGCTCCTCAGGGACATGTGCCCGCTCCTGTTTGCACCCAAGGCAAACTTTGCACAGAAACACCTGTGGGAGCACAGGGATCCCGGGGCTCAGCCCGGCCAGCACCCCGGGCACCCCTGGGCTGGATGTGGCCAGCAAGGAGGGCACTGGGGGCAGGTGGGAGCAGCCAGGGCTGCAGGGCTCCATGCCAAGCAGGAGGGCTGGGAACCCATCGGGAGAGGCCCGCGATGGATCCTGCCTCGCTCGGAGCCCCTTTGGCACCGAAGGCTCCCAGCCCGGGCGGGCACGGGCGGCACTGCCCTGTCCCCAAAGGGCACCGTCTGCCCTGCCGCTGCCGGGGCAGGGCTGCAGCGCGTCGCTGCCGAGATCCCGGGGTACCGGGGAAGGGCCGGGGCTGTCCCCGGGCTCTGCAGGCTGGCACGGCCACACACGGCCGGCAGGACCGGGGCCGCGCCCCGCGTGTCGCGCCGGGCATCGCGGCAGGCACCGGAGCGGCAGCGCCCGGCGGGGGAAACGCGGACGGACCCCGAGGTGTGCCCGCCGCGCTCGGGGCGTCCCCGCGGGGCTCCCTCCTGCCCGGGGCTCCCTCCTCCCGGGGCTCCCACCTGCTCACACCGGCCGCGGGACAGGCGGCCGCCGCCGCTTCCCCGGGGCTCCGGAGCGGGGTCGGTGCCACCCGCGCCCCCCCGGGCCGGGGCAGCGCTGCCCGCCGAGCCCGGGGCTGCCCCGTTCGGCTCGGCCCGGCTCGGTCCGGAGCGGAGCCGCATGTCGGGATGGACCGCAGCGGAGCCGCTGCCGTCGGGGGTTCCCTCCTCCTTCCCGCTCCCGGCAATGAATAACCCGCCGGCCCGATCGCCCTGATCGCGGCCCTTTGTGTATCTTTCTGTTGATGATTTATAGAAATAAATTAATAACGCCCCGGGCTCCACGTGGTGCGGTTTATGTTTGAGCCGCCGGCGCGGAGGGACGGAGCCGGCGGCCGGTCCGAGCGCCCACGGCCCCGGCAGCCCCGGCCCCGCCGGGACCGGCGACGGGCAGCCCCGACGGGGCGAGGGGCCGCGGCCGCGGGGCTCCGGCTCCCCCCTGCCCGCTGCCCTCCGCCGCGGGGTCCGGGCAAGGGAGCCCCGGGAGCCGCCACCGGGACTGACGGCGGGGCGGGCAGGGAGCCCCGGCACCACCACCGGGTGGGACACACCGAGCAGGGAGCGCCGGGACTGACGGCGGGGCGGGCAGGGAGCCCCGGGACCCCTCACCGGGTGGGACACACCGGGAACGACCCCCGGGCAGGGCGCTGGGGGCCGGGGCCGCCGGCCCGAGCGCCGGCGGGCGGATCCCGGCGCGGCGCGGGGAGCGCCCGGTGCCGGTACCTGATCATCCTCTCCACCTCCGCCCGCTGCTCCACGGCCTCCTCCGTGTTGAGCGACTGCAGCTCGCGGAGGATCTGCGGCGTGTCAAAGTCGTCGCCGTCCTCGGAGCCCTCGTCGCCCGAGAGCTTGCCCTTGCCGTGCCCGTTGGCCAGCGGCGGGAGGGCGGCCCTGCCGTCGGGGGCCCCGCCGGGAGACAGCGGAAGGCTCTCCAGCTTGACGCCGAAGCCGGCGGCGGGCACCATGTCCTCCAGGGCGCGGATCAGCCCCTCCTTGGTGGCCCCGGAGCTGAGCAGGGCGCCCAGCAGCTCCCGTTGCAGGGCGCTCAGCTGGGACACCATCCTCCTCCCGGGGCCGCGGCGCGCCCGCCGCTCGCCGCCCTCCTCCCGCTCCGCCCCGGCTGCCGCGGGCCGCGGGCCGCGCTCTAACAAGCCATGACCGCCACCATAAGGCATTATACCTTATGCAAATCAGCGCCAAAGCCTCTCCTCCGGCCCCCGCCCCGGCCCGGCACGGCCCGGCCCGGCCCTTAGCGCCCGCCGGGGCGGACTTTGCCTCGCGGCCGGCGGGAGGCCCCGGGGAGCGGCGGGGGAGCGCCGGGCGGGACGGCGGCACGGCGCTGCGAGCCCCCGGAGCCGCTGCCGTCGGGGGTCCCGCTGCCGGCCGCGCCCCGGGAACCGAGCGCCTTCCTCCGCCCGCGGCCCCCGGCGCCGAGCGCAGAGCCCCGGCGGGTGCGGCTCCCCCGGGCGCTGCGCCCACGCTGGAAGGGGCCAAGGCGAGACCCGCTCCTCGTCTCGCCGGGGAGGTTTCTCCCCCGTGTCCTCCACGCTGCGGGGTCCTGCTGCCCCAGCCCCGGCACAGAGCAGGAACAGGCTGTGAGGGGCACGGGGGTACCAGTGGGAGTCGTGGCCCCCGCTGTGGGCAGCTCTGGGGACAGGCTCGCTGCCGTGCAGGGCATGGAAGGACACCCAGCCAGCAAAGGGGACACTGCGGGGACAGGGGGCACTGGGGACACGGAGCCCCCATTGACCCTTGGCAGCAGTCAGGGCTGCGAGCAGGGAACAGGTTTGGATGGGCAGAGGAAGAGATCCGAGCCGTGCTCTGGGAGCTGAGCAAAGCCTGCTTCTCCCATCGCTGTGAGTGCACACAGACCAACAAATTCACTTCAGTCAAAGCAGGCACAAGACGAGCGGCAGCACCACACCCAGAGCAGGGCACAGACGAGGCCGGGACCCTTCAGGGGAAGGCAGGTCTGAAATCTCCACTCATGACTGCCCAGCTGCCCAAAGCACTTCCAGTTCCTGCTGCTCTTGGCTGGCACCTGGATGGTCGCCCCAGCAAAGGCCAACAGCTTCGAACCCAGTGTTCCCAGCCCAGAATCAGACTTTTCCAGGGCACCCGGAGTTACCTGTCCATCTGAAAACACACAGAAAATCCTGCCAGCCACCAGCAGCCATGGCAGACCCCAAATGCAGCCCCAGAGCCCAGAGGGAAGGGAAGGGAAGGGAAGGGAAGGGAAGGGAAGGGAAGGGAAGGG